CTATATAAGTACCTGAAATAAATAAATAACCTTGTAGAAACTCTGTCTATAGTCCTACAAAATAGACAGTGCACAGTCAACATGTGCTCTTCTGCTTGCTCTACTGAATACTGATGTAGTTGTTACACAAAATACATGAACACGGTATTCCAACAGTTGTCCGTTATGCTACATTGCTCCCTTCTAAAACAGACCTGACTCCTGTCATCTGGTCTAAATGGTACAATATATATTCCCACAGCTATCAGTAGAGGACTGGGAGAATTTTGAAGAATCTCTTCCAAAGATAGACTTTTCTCAGACTTTCTAATCAGTTATATTATACTTCTTTACTATTATATACTGTAAGTTGAAACTCAGAAACTCTCCACTCTGTTTTAGTGCTTGTGGTCAGGAAGCTTAATTTTTCATGCACTATGGATTTGCCCACATGTGCACACATTCTGGTCACAGGTGAATGGGTTTCTTGAGCAAGCTTTGGCTCACCTAATCTGCAATGTCCCAAGTATGCCTAATGAGATTGTGGAGGACCTCCACATAAGTTCGTATTCTAGGAAATTAATAAAAACTATTATCTTTGTAAAAAACCTTAAAATGATCTCCTCCATTGTCACTCCATCGAGTGGAAAATTTTAATTAATTCATCCCTTCCCATATACCAGCTTCTCCCAAGTGGTTTGAAAAAAATTTGGATCCATGGACACACTCTATGTTTATTGTTTAGACTAGAGGTCTCCAAACTTTCTAAGCAAATGGCCATTTTACAGTCCCTCAGACTTCGGGGGCCAGACTGTAGCCAGTGGAAGTAGAAAATGCCCCGGCATCAGTGCCCTATCATTGATTTCAAAGGGAGGAATAGTGCCCCACTGTTGATATCAGTGAGAAGAAAAGTGCTCCATTGTTGATATCAGTGAGAAGTATAATGCCCCATTGATGGTGACAGTAGGTGGAATAGTGCCCCAAGGGCCAGATAAACTCAAGCGAAGGGCCACATCCAGTCCCCGGGCCACAGTTTGGAGACAACTGGTTTAGACTCTTATGGTGGTACAAGGAGACCACATTATTATCCAAATGGGCTTCTAGGTAATATGTTCTGCTGCATAGTTTTCACCATAGCTGTTGATCTTATCGCCATTTCTGGATAGGTTGAGGACAAACATTTGAAAATTGTGTTCACTATATTATGCTTGTCTGTACATCTAAAACACAATAAGCAGAATCTTTTTAAAATGTGTGTTGTCTACATTGCTTAAATCTAAAATGTTACATTTGTCACTGGAACAGGATGTGAGGGTAACTTTTACATTAAATAACTGATGATGATAGAGGATTTTTTTCCCCTTACTTTGGAGTACCGTAATTCTTAACTTACTGTTCTGTCTGTAGGACAGGACGTGAAGGGAAATAACCCCAATAGGATTCACTTCATGCATATGTAATGAGTACTATTGAAATGCATATTATTTTGCTACCATGCCCTAAAATATCAAACCTTTCAGAAAAGAGGGGTTAGATGTGTAGCAAGGAAAATCACTTTAAGAAGAAATACACTTTAAAGCTTTTTAGTTTTTTAGCCTTAGTAGACAAATGTTGTGGTAAATGCTAGACATGCATAGTCAATTCTTATGAGACAGGTCAGCCAGCTGTAATGTGTATGGAAAAACTGACACTGCCAGTTAAACACTGTGAGACACTGAGAACTCAGCAACATCTAAGTTCCCTTGTTACTCATTTCTTTTAATGTATTTTAAGTCCAAAACAAAAGTATTGTCCATAAACATAATATGTTTTCTGGAACAATATGATCAAGGGAGCAAGTTCTAAATCCCAAGATAGCGTAAACAAATTCAAATTTTAAACTATGCCTACAAAATGATGAATGTATTATTAAGCAATAGTAGATATAGATTGAAAGTCTGTTTCCTTCCACTAGCCTCTAAGTCACTATTATGCCCTGTAGTGACATAGGGACTGGCTGGTGAAACCACAGCATGCAGTGTATCCAACTCCCAGCATATCTAGAGAACTGACCACGGTGTCCCTGGTGTGGTCAGTTTTTATTGGGAGACAGAGGGACTGGCAGGAACACCAGGAACATCATACAAAGAGAACATGATACTTTTTCATACAAGTACAGCAGGCACATATCAAGGATATGAAATCTTACTCTTTATTTAAATGAAATCATATTCTTTAATTCTTATCTTTACAGGCAGAGCTTTTTTGTTTATTACAATTCTGGAGTTTAGCTATAAATATAAACTCCACTTGGCTAAAAGTCCTGTTCTTTTACCCCCAATAAGCCTCTGTTTGTTTATTCTAGAGGGCAAAAAATAGGCAGAAATACTTATCTTATTCATCTCTCTAGTTTCTCCTTATTAGACGATAGGTCCTGTGGTCTTGCATTGTATACGAACATGTCATGGACCTGCCAACATCATGGGAGTGGACGAGAACTGCCAGGGGAGTGTGGGATAAGTTAAGTATTCCTCTCCTGTTATATCCCCTAGACTAAATGAGTTTAAGATGATTACTTTCTGGGGGAGGGGCAAGAAAAAGAGGAATTTAAAAAGCTGACTGGAGTTTAGTTCAAGTTTAATTTATGCTGCTTTCAAACAGCACAAGGGCAAAATTACTTTATAAGATACGTGTATAATATTCTGAACAAGCAGTAAAAGCACTTTAAACAATTCCTCATTCATCTTTTTATCTACAAGTATTGTGAAGAAATGCATTTTCAAATATATTTTAATATGTGCCAGCCCTCTAATGTATGGGTCTCCAAACTGCAGCCCACTACAAATTGAATCTGGCCCCCAGATAGCAACCGATGACTTGATTGTCCCAGCAGAGTCAGAATACCTCACTGTGCTGTCCTATTAAAAGTCAGTTGGTTGCTAGAACCACTGGCATCCTAGCAACTGATGATGTGCTTAACCCAGCAGAAGGACGGAACTTCCTCTGTCCATACCTACTCTGCCTTCTGACTCCTATTCTGCTGCTTCACTGACTACAGCCATGCTGTAAGCAAGGTAAGGCAGACAGCAAATAGGAAATTTGATGTAAAGGGGCTTTGATGGGGACCTTGATGTAAAGGGGAACCCTGATGGAGACCCTAATGCAAGGCGGGTGGACTCCTAAAATGGATTCTGATGTAAGGGAGCTCTGATGGGGATGCTGATGTAAAGGAGGTAATGATGGAGATCCCGATGTAAGGGGACATTTAATATAAGGGGAGCTTTGAAGGGAACTCTCATGTAAGAAGGGACTTTGCTTTGTTTTACTGAAGTGCTTTCTTTTTTGCTCTGAACCATATCATACTGATTCCAAAGAAGATTCAAGTAAAACTTTTTTTTAATTATTTTATTTTTTTCCACCCATGAATATTTGTAAAATATACAATGTGGCCCTCGTATTGAAAAGGAGATCCCCACACTAATGTAAATACACAGCAGATGTTTCTAAGCTGTTAAAAACCAACTGAGGAGTCAAGATTCTTTGTTGTGATCTTTGAGGATCTTTGAGAAGAAATAACTACACATTAAAAACAGCTAGTGAGGGCAGTGGTAGCTAAAGCCCTTATACCGATTGTTAGGAATATATAAATAGTTAGATGTGCATTGTGAGAGGTTTAGCTATGTCCATTACAAGCCTTTCTAATGCTATTTATCACTCTCTAAAGAAGAAATGTCTTACCCCTTTGTCAAAAGTCAAATGATAATTATGATGCTCTCTCTTCAATTACATTTGGAGTGGGATAAATATGTATACCAAATATAGGGGCTCGGTCACAGCAATGTGCACCAACGCAAGCTGCAAACTTCCTCTTAATTATATACTATATATAGTATATAATATAAAACCACCTCTAAAAGCAGGTACCGTCATTATAGAGTCAGATTTTTTTTATACCCAATGATTTAATATCTGTACTGGTACTAATCTAGGGGGGAAGTAAGTTTCATCTCTCTATGGGATGAATATAATTATACGGTATATGGATACCTAATAAATTGGAATATCTATAAGTACTTCATACATAAGACTGACAAACTTACAAATATCCTTTCTCTATAAATCAATGTACTGTATATGGGTCACAAACCAGGACAAAGGATCACGGGATATTGACAATAAAGGTCTTCTAGTCACCAGCATCCTAATAACCAACGACACCATCAGTTGATATGGAGGATGTAGGTTGCCTGTATGGCATCATTGTTTGACCCTCCCCTGCCCCTCTCTGTCAGTAATGGGGTTGAATTAGTAAGGAACTGAGAGCGAAGAGAAACATTGGAATACTTTTCAGTATCAGTGTGCAAAAGTGTATTTGCTTTGGAAGAATAAATCGCCTCTAACATTGGGTGTCCTACATGTGTGGATGTTGCTGCATTAGGTAAAACTATTCAAATATGTTTTTTACATTTTAGAATGGGGTGCCTTGAGACTATCCATCATTTTAAAGGTGAGAAACACTGCTCCTCAACATAAAATAAGGGATCCAACATAAAAGGTGAGAACCCCTTATAAACTAGAAATAAAAGAACTTGTCACATGGTTTAAATCTCCACCATTCGGCAAACACTAAAATAATAGTTTTTGGTGGACTGACTGTTTGACACTGAATGGGATTCTACTAGTTGGATCATTAGGCACTCCCCTATGCTATCAGTGTTTCAATGTCCAAGAAGAAAGGTGGTAATGCTAAAAATGCTGCAATAGCACACTGTTGCTGGATTTCAAAAGTACAACCAGGTAACAGGTGCAGAGCTTGTGTTTAGGTAAGCAACCAATGGACACCAACAATGAAGTTTAATATTGTTGCCACTTTACACCATTGATTAGGTATAATAATGCTCCCACTCTAAGCAATGATGAGGTTTAGTAATCCTCCTACTGACATTAACCATGGTGTTTAATAATGTTTCTACCGACACCAACAATGGGGTTTTAATATTGCTTGAACTGGCACCAATGATGGGATTTAACATTGCCCCCACCAGCACCAATGATGGCATTTAATATTGATCCCACTGACACCAAGGATGAAGTTTGATATTGCTTCCACTGAAACACCAATGTTGAGGTTTAAAACTTCTTCCGCTGACACCAATTGTGGGGTTTAAAATTGTTATCACTATGAGGTTTAATATGAGCCCACCGACACAAATTCTGGAATTTAATATAGCTTCCACTGATACTAATAGTGGGCTTCACACACCACATTTTTCCCAAACCCTTTATAGTCCATCCTAATTATTTTAAAATGTTGGCAACTAAACTATCAAGTTTTTTTTTTGCATTGGACAATGCTATCAGTCTTACATGTTTCAGGTAGGCTTATATGATGGGAAGGGAAAATGTACTAAACTTTGTGGCTTGCTTACAATTCAGTACAGCAGGGGGATAACATGGGAAATTGCAGAGTTGTAGGCTGTGAAAGTTGGTGACATCCCTTGGTTATATAGATAGTGGGACAGGATTATATGAATCACCAGACTGACTGAAAAGAATGACAAATAGTTAGACAAATCTTTGTCAGTATTTCAACTGTGCATTTAACTATTTGGCCAGTGTTCCGCTTTAATCTATGGCCAGTGTAAATGATCCAAATCTTTTAGATTATCTGCCCAGATATGGATGGCTTTTGTATGTTTTAAACTTGTGGAAACAAGAAAAAAAAAAACATTCAAAGTTAGATTTTTCCATATAGAGAACCTTCCTCGAAATTCTCATTTTGGTTTCTCTCCCATGTGGGAACAATTTGCACTGTGTATAGGATATATTTTTTTGAGTAGCAGAGTGTTCTTCTGCACAGCTTTTTATCATTTTAGTAATGTGGCTTCAGAAAGTTAGCTTTGCTTTATTTATGACACTCCAGCCTGAGGTCAGGATAAAAAAATAATAATATCTGGTATAATTTACACCAAGCTGAGTGTGCAGCCCAATCTCATGTAAACAAGCCGGCAAGGCGGAATTGGCAATATAGACGGGCAGAGCTAACTAGTCACAGAACATGAGTCAAGCAGGAAGTCAGCGAGCTCTGCTTTTCCCATTATCACATAACATAAAACATACTTCATGAGCCAGCTCTGGATCTGCTCTGTGTCTGAGGCCCTGTGTGTCTTACTAGCTGAAGATACACTGGGAGCATTCAACGGGTCACTAAGCCAACACTAAACAATACAAAGACTTAAAAGGAAATTACACACGCTAAGAATGCACGTCATTTCCTTTAACTTAGTTGGATCATTACAGGTACAGGCATAAATTCATTGTCAGTTGTGTTCAAATTTGTTCTTAGAGGAACTGAATGTATTCTCTCTTGAAAAGAGGAGATTACAGGGGGATTTGATCAACATGTATAAATACATACAGTAGGTGGTTCATATAGTGAACTTGGTGTAGAGTTATTCACTTTAAGGTCATCACAGAGGACAAGGGGGTACTCTATGTCTAGAGTAAAAGAAAATCTTCAAATACAGAAAGGCTTCTTCACAGTAAGAGCGGTGAAAATGCGTAAGGGCTCATGTACACTGCAGCTCCTAATCTGACGTTCAGGAGCTGTTCAGCATTTTTTTCAGCAGCCCCTGACCTCTCCCTAATGTTTTCCTATGTGTCCATGTACACATAGTCTTTTATAGTAGTTTACAAGAAGTTGAGTTTATAGTCATTTTTTTGAACGCACAAAACTTGCGTTCAGGAGTAGATTGTACCAGCGTTTCAAACGCCAAATGCTTGTAAACGTGTGTAAACGCTGGTAAACACGGTTAACCACGTTTATAAGCGCTTGCAAGCTTTTTTTTTTTTAACTGTTCCATGTCCAGATGCTGTCCAGAGCCTTTTTTCACCATCAGAAATGCACACAAAGTGTTTTCCATGTATTCAAATGGACCCGGTACATCAGCGCAGTCAGTTCCAGGTTTCTCATGAAGGACAAAATGGTAGAACGTGCCGCATTATACTCATGATGGGATCCATAGTGAATACAACCAGAAAAGACAGGTCATCTCAACACATACTGCTCTCTCTGCTTCTGCTCTCTCTATTCCTCTCAAAATGTATGAAATAGTTAATTTTTTACTGTTTTTCAGTGCATTCTGGGCATTTGGGAAAGTCTCCTGAGGTTATCTTGTAAACACGGTATGCAAACGTGGCTAGACTGACGTTTTTTAACCTACATTTTCCAGCAGTTTCCATCATTCAGAAGAGTTTTCCAAACGCCTCATGTACATGAGCCCTAATATGCTCCCTCAAAAGTTGGTTCTGGCTAGCTCAGTAGATTGCTTTAAAAAAGCCCTGGATTCTTTCCTAGATACAATATAACTGGATATTAGGATTTCTAGGAAAGTTCATCCAGGGAATATCCATTTGCCTCTTGGGGGATCAGGAAGGAATGTTTTTCCCTGCAGGAGCAAATTGGATCACGCTTTATTGGGGGTTTTTTTTGCCTTCCTCTGGACCAACTGTGGGTAAAGGATACTGCATATGGAGGTTTTCTATTTGTGTGTGTGTGTTTTGTTTTTTTTTTTTTTCAATGTTGGTTGAACTGGATGGACTAGTGTCTCTTCTCAACCAGATTAACTATATAATAGGAGGTTTGAGGAAACCTTTTTCTGGGAGAAAGATCATTGCCGACTTAAAGGGTAACATCCACTTTTGTGGGAAGAAAATTAGCAAATATAAAAATAATGAAATACTCAATACTTAAGGGCCCATTCAAACTAGGAACTGGATGTGAATTGCACAGGAACGCTGTGCAATTCACATGTAGTTCTGTGCAGTGCTATTTTAGCCCCTTTAATTTTGAATGGGCTGAAATTGCACCACACTGCAGCAAAAGTAGTGCATGCATTACTTTTTGAAGCTAACAGCAACTGGATCGCATGATACTTTTGTACCACGCAATCCAGTGCAGGCAAACGCACTACATTTGCGAACAGCGTTTGGGGTGTCATTACCTTTGCACTGACACCCACAGCAGATTGCAAGTACAGTGCAATTTGCTTTCCCACACTGTATTCTAAGTGGCAAAGAACAAAGAGAATCTATATACATAAATAGTTACAGGTCATGTTCCAGACGATTGCATCACATTTTTAAGCCTCCATAATGGTTGTTTGGATGATCCTTTAAATGGCTGCCTGCCCAGTTAATGCACTTTAAAGCAAATCTCTAGGTATTTGCAATGCATGGTACAGGAATTACACATGCCGTTCCATAACCTCTATAATCAGTACTACAAGTTTACAATCTTTACAATCTTACATTTAGTGAAGTTGTCCTTTAGTTTTTCACCCAACCCCATCAGTGAAGCCCAGAGTGCAAAATACTTACCTTCATCACTGCTTCTAAAGTTTTTACAATGTGACCCTGAAGGTGAGTTTTTTTCTTACTACCTTGGCTTCACTGATGAAGGAGGGGGAAATGTTAAAGGGCAACTTGACTAAATATGAATTAAAGAGGTCCCTAGAGTTAGGTGTTATGGACATGAAATATTGTCTTTGGATCAACCATGTTTGGTTCCAGGCGATGGGAGGATAAAAAGGATACACTGTCCATCAGGAACTGTGTGATGTGGCCACATGGTCGCTATCATAGTTGTCATCTGAGATCTATTTCCTGACTTGCTATGGGAGAGTATAACAAATGAAAGTCAGGGCAGAGGCTCAGGGCAGCATGGTGACCAAATGGTTAGCACTTCCACCTAGGGTTGTCAGTTCAAATCCCAACCATGGTACTACCTGTCTGGAGTTTGCATGTTCTTCTGGTGCATGCATGGGTTTCCTCCAGGTACTTTGGTTTCCTCTAAACTTCAAAGACATGTTGTTAGGTTAATTATTCTGTCTAAATTGGCCCTAGTATGTGTATGTACGAATGTGATTTAGGGATTTAGATTGTAAGCTCATTAAGGGCAGGGACGGATATAGTTGTACAATATATACACTGCTCAAAAAAATTAATGGAACACTTTGAAAACACATCAGATCTCAATGGGGAAACATATTATGCTGGGTATCTATACTGATATGGACTGGGTAATGTCTTAGGAACGTAAGGATGCTCCATCATTTGATGGAAATGAAAATGATCAACCCACAAAGGACTGAATTCAAATATACCCCAAAAATCAAAATGAAAAAATGATGCAGAAGGCTATTCCATTTTGCTGAAATTTCATTCCAGCAACTCAAAATGGTACTCAGTAGTTTGTATGGCCTTCACGTGCTTGTATGCATGCCTGACAACATCGAGGCATGCTCCTAATGAGACAACGGATGGTGTCTTGGGATATTTCCTCCCATATCTGGATCAGGGCATCACTGAGCTCCTGGACAGTCTGAGGTGCAACCTGGCGGCATCGGATGGGCCAAAACATGATATCCCAGAGGTGTTCTATTATATTTAGGTCAGGCGAGTCATGGGGGCCATTCAATGGTATCAATTCCTTCATCCTCCAGGAACTGCCTGCATACTCTCCCTGCATGACACCGGGCATTGTCGTGCACCAGAAGGAACCCAGGACCCACTGCACCAGCGTAGGTTCTGACAATGGGTCCAAGGATTTCATCCCAATACCTAATGGCAGTCAGGGTGCCATTGTCTAGCCTGTAGAAGGCTGTGCGTCCCTCCATGGATATGCCTCCCCAGACCATCACTGACCCCCCTTCAAGACGGTCATGCTGAACGATGTTACAGACAGCATAACATTCTCCATGGCTTCTCCAGACCCTTTCATGTCTGTCACATGTGCTCAGGGTAAGCCTACTCTCATTTGTGAAAAGCACAGGGTGCAAGTGGTGGACCTGCCAATTTTGGTGTTCAATGGCAAATGCCAATTGAGCTCTATGGTGCAGAGTGGTGACCACAGGGCCCACTAGAGGATGTTGGGCCCTCAGGCCACTCTCAGGAAGTCTGTTTGATTGTTTGATCAGTGACATTCACTCCAGTGGCTTGCTGGAGATAATTTTGTAGGGCTCTGGCAGTGCTCATCCTGTTCCTCCTTGCACAAA